ACTCTACGATCGAAAATATTGATATCAGTTTTGGGCTATACTTTACTCCAATCGATACCAAAAAGAGAAATAGAGGAGAAAATGCCCAAAACAGAGGAATACAGTACACTATTAAAGCCACCCAATAGTGTGTACAATAGTGTAATTCAGTGCTTTGTAAACAGATTGTGCATCTTATACTGTATTAGCACCCGTTTCATTAGCTAGATCATTTTAATTGTAAATTAATACAACTAATACCAAAAATATGAATATAACAAATTAAGTGACCTAATATTGTTGAACAATTGACCAATTTAAATTTGCCCCATCACTCAGGTATAGATGCAAACAATGTGTTGGAACGTTGACATCATTTTGGTTGTGATATTATCTCATATGATATGAGTCATATCATTAAGATATCACTTTCCTATTATTCAAATCATGTTTGAATCTAATGATAAGTGTTGAGAAAATGATCACAGAGATACCCAACAATAAGATTTAGTATATAGTATTATCCAACAGTAAATTCATATACATGTTACCATAAGATCTCAAATTAAATTTAGTCAAATTTAGACCTAACATAAAATTTTATTTTATTGACCAAATAGGGTATAAAATTTATATATAATAGTGAATGGTATGCCATATATAACATGTTAGATAGCAATGAAAATTTTCACTTCATTTCTTTTCATCCTTTTTCACTTCATTTTATCGCAATTTATTGTTTAAAATATCTGATGGAAAACAAAAAAAAAACATTTATTGAATTTATTTTAATGTAAAATAATCAATTGAACGATTATTATAGTGGTTATTATATTTATAGTAATTTTATTATGAATTTTTATAATATAAATGCAAGATTTGATTTATATTCAAATTCATTCAAACTAAATGTAAACCACAAATAATATTTTGCTTATTTTTATAAGAGTTAGTGATTTTTGTGTACTAATCATGAACTGTAAGCGGAATGCGGTCTGCATTGCAAAGAAGATAAGGTTTACGGATTCGTTGTGTCTATGAATTTGGATACCGTTGCGAAGGAAGGGATAGTTTGTCAGCGAAATCCCTCTTTCTTTTATCAATTATATGAATTGATAGTAAAATAGAGAGAAAGAGAGCAATAAATAGTTAATAGAATTTGTTTGTCATTTTCTATACCAATATTTGGATTTTGTATTACAAACAAAAACCCAAACCAATTGAACAACTGAATCAAAATGAGACCCAAAATGTTTAATTTAGTTCATTTCTGAAACACATTTTCCAACTCAACTCATATTAAACACAAAAATGCCTCAAAAACTGTTGGCTATGTTTCCATTAAATAAGGCTTTTGAGTCCAAATTGAAATGCTTTACCCATTCGTACAATCATTGAGTATTCGTCTCACTATTCCTTTGCCAACAATACTCTAATTCGAGAAATTGATTCCCAAAATGTAAAGCATGAATACCATCGACACTGATATTATGGTGACATATACTACACATACTCTAATACTGTATATATGGCTATCATTAACACAACACCACTCTCTACTCTATTTCTTATAATTTTACTTCATTTTCATCTCTCAAATCTAAAAACAAATAAATATAAACAAAGATTGAGATTGACTTTCGTTTCAATTAACGCTTTCCTGATGTTTGTGTATTTTGTCTGCAAATACTATTTGAATATTTATTCAATAAATCAAAGCCAAAGTGACTGGCATTTGATTTTAATTGAATAATATTTTTTGATAACATTTTATTCAAAACTATAATTAAATGGATTGGCATTGAGATGAGACTGTTTAGTAACTGTGTTTATACAGTACTTTAAATGCATATCATTGTATTTATAAATAAATAAATAATAATTTTATTCATCAAAAAATGTTATTGAATTGCTGTCAAAATAAAAGTCTGGATGGCTTTCGGTTGTGTTTCGATTAAATTTATTAAATATTCTTATCGTTAGATCCATATCTTTAGGACAATTTCTTTATGCAAATTCACTTAATTTGAATAAAAGGAAACATAAGACTTATGTGAAGAGTAGTTGTTTCTTTCAAATTGATTTATTCAAAACTTAATTAAAAACATTTCTTGTGTCATCTTATTTACCCATAATTATGCTTTGTTTTATCATTTGACCAAAATTTTTCTTTATTTGATAGCATTTCCTCAAACACTCAAACAATTTGATGATAACATGAATAATATTATAGTATATAATACACATAATATAAATGAATGGAAATATTAATGTAAACTACATTTAAATATAGTTTAAACAGACATCAAAGTTAAATATTATTTTTAAATTGTTTATTTGTATTGAAGAAAAATCCAAAATCCTTTTACAAGTTATAATAGAATTATTTATATTTAAAATGATTTGGAAAATCGTTGGAACTGTTGGTTCATTCCTATCAACTGTTTCTTCTATCAAATGGTCATTGGATTGAATGGCTGTTACAAGAGTTGCAAAGATTCTCGTCTAATATCAATGTCTGAAGACTTTTCTCATAATATTCTGTTATCAAAGCATCAAAACAATTGAAATGTTCGCTAAATTTTGGGGAAACTTTCAGTTCAAAAGTCAGCGAAAATGTTGTTTATTCGCAGCACTAGTGGTGAGCCATTCCTCGGGGAAATCAAACAGTTCCTTAACATTGCCATAGATTGCAATACATGGCTATTATAGGCATCAATGCTCACAATTGACTGCTTTATTCCTATTATTTCTTTTGCACTTTTCTCACCAATTCTTGTGTTAATCCTATTTCGGTCTATAGTCAGCCCAATAAACAGAACGCCATTCTATCCCTACTTCTATTCCTTTGCCACTAGTGTTTAAATTCATTGCAACTTATAATAAATCTCTTCATCTCATACTTATTGGAAAAGAAAAAAAAAGTTTACAGACTTTGCAATCGTTTTAAGGTTCTGATGGAATCGGGTTTTTGGAAATTTACAATTTCATTGAATGGCCCCCAAAATGGCCTTAGATTTGAGATACAACTACTTTAATGGCTATGATTTATGTAATTTAGAATCCGATATAGTATTATACGAAAGGCTCCTCTATTTCTCAAATTGCTTTTCTTTCAAATTAATTGTAAACTCAAACTTTAATTTTTTAAATCTCGCCGATTATATACCAATGCTTTTCAGTTGACAATCGGATTTTTGACATAACATTGGATAATAATCGCAAAATTTTCGCCGACGAAACAATTTGTAAATTATTGCTTCAAAAGAAAATTATCAAAAATTGAGAAAAATTAGATTATTTTTCCAAAGAGAAAGAAATGGCTTAAACTAAACAATTTTATGGACATTCTCTTTCACTTTCAATCGATAAGTGTGACTGAAATCTAAACTAAATACTATAAGAATTGTTATAATATTAGTGATAATAAATTAATGTTTGCAAAGAAAGTCATGAGATGGACATCGAATGCTTTTATTTGTGTAATAAATCTTAAATATTGATCCAACGAAATGAAAATATAATAAAATTGAGACAAAATAAAATAAAAATAAAAAAAGTGTGAATTCAAGCAATTTGTTAGCATTTGTTTGATAATAAATCCTAAAATTGGGTATCAATTCATTGTATGCTTATTCTTATTATCGTTATTCTTATTGAACAGATATCTGGAGCTTCTGTGGTATGGATTAGAGAGTAGATCAGAGAACAAACGCAATGAAAAACAAGAGCAAAGAGAGTGGCAAATGAATGCACTGCCGGTCCTCTCGACCCTTCAGAGAACTAATCACACGGAAAGTCAGACTCATGTAAGTTTGGCCAAAAAACATATCCTTTTTGTTACATTTAATATGATTTAATGAATGGAATCTCATTTTAGGTGACAAATGAGCCGCAAATTGATTACTATCTGTTGGCCATTCATGAGGACAGGGATACGGCTCTCCTATCGCTTCTAAAAAGTTTCATTCAATGCGCGCCTCAAATGGTTCTTCAAATCTATTTATTAGCAAAATCTAAACCGGATTTCAATTTATCTAAAGGTATATCTAATTTGAATTGCAATCAAAATAAATGCAAAGAAGAAAATATTTATTAAATCAAAGCTTTAATGTATTTGACTATAAAATACTTAAATATTTTTTTTACAATAATTGTCTAAATGTTTAAAATATTTAGAATACAAATAATATGTTTTGAAATATTATACAAAATATTTGTGTGAAATTCTTGGGCCTTTAAAGTGTAAACTAAGTCTCGGTTTTTTCTTTCTCTCTCATAATCTTATTATAAATTGATATCATTTTTCAAAACGCTTTTCTTGTGCCAGATTTAGTCACTTATATAAAAAGAGTTCATTTTTAAATTCTAGCCCTTCTTTATCTTTATCTTCATTTCTAAGTAAACTATTTTTTAATGTAATTTATTTGAGCGATACTTTAATTTCAAAACTATTAATAATAAATGAAGATTTTCTCTCGATTTTAGAGCGAATAGACGTATAAATTGTTCGGTTGTTTAATGAGCCATAAATTCAAATCACAAAATATGATTACTTGCAAAGAGAAACACTTTTGGCTCCAAATATTTCATCTGTTTTTCTATTATTAGCGAGAAGTGTGTGTTATGTTAGGCTCTAATACTGTTGTGGTGTTAATAACATTCAAACCCTCGATCCCTCTCTCCCTCTCTCCTCTCTTCTTTTATAATTCCATCAAAAACTAAGATTTCATTCAAAATGACTTTTTTTGTTGAAAATATAAAAACATGAGTTATTTATTATATTATTCTTTGTTTATTGAATTTAAAGTGAGAATACGTTTTGTTAAATAAATTACAGAATACGTCCAAATGGCAGCTATAATATCATCTCTATTTGAAATGAGTTGGTCTATGGCTTCGTATAACAGAGCGTTGAGGAGATCGACGCCAAACAAACTGAATGTCTCCCGAATGGCAACAATAACGCACTTCTTGTGGCGCTTTTGCACAATCGGTTCCAGGGTTTTAGCCATCGCTCTGTTTACGAGCGAATATAGCTATTGGGTGTGTCCGGTGGCGATCGGGCACTGGGGCGTTATGACCATCTGGATTATGCACCAACAGACCAGGTTCTGCGACAGTGAGAGGGGAGACCAGAGACCCTGTCACGAGTACGTGTTCAATATGATTGTGGGCGCCATTTATCTGTTCTGCTTCCTCAACGTTAAGGACGAACCGACCCGTTATAAGTACCTCTCATTCTACACAATAGTATTCAGCGAAAACATTTCGTTCATAATTCTCTGGTATGTGAGAAGTGATCCATTGAATTGGTATCACACGCCAGCCTTGGCTACCGTTTTGGGGGCATTTGGTGTCGGAATGCTTTTAATGCTCATTTACTACTGGTTTCTTCACCCAAACGGTAGACCCCTTTGGGTCAATCGTGCGGCGCGTTGTTGTTAGTACGGGATTATCGGATTAATTCCCTTATTATCAGTACAAACTGTGCTCAATATATACATCATATAAACAATGTATAAAAAGTTAGAAATAAAACGAATGAGAAGAAGAAGAAAAACAAAAGAAAAACTCATTTTGATGTTAGTCTTCAAAACTAATGAATTTGTTTGAGAAGATATGTAAACAAAATACTCGCATCACTGATCACAACGTTATTCACCATTATTTGTCTTTTAAGACTAATTTCGTACACAAAAATCTCAAAATCAGATCTTCTGTGAAATAAAACACCAAAAAATCATTTCTAGTCATTCTTTATAAGCATTTCGTTGTTTAAATATATTTTTCATTTTTTCGAAATACATTTCATCGAAGCGATTAAAATTGTATAAAAACTAGGCTTTTAAACATTTTTATATATAATAAGTCAATTACATGATTACTATCATTATTAATATATTATTTTGTATTTATTAAGTATTTGTCTCGATATTCAATGCAAAGATTTTTAAGAAAACACAAAATAATTAAAAAACAAATTTTCTAAACAGTTCCTGACTTTCTTTATATGTATAGCAGTGTTGGAAAATAGTGTATAAAATAATTAATAAAAGCAATAAATGATTTATAACTAGCAAAAGTGTGATTGAATGCATGACTTACCCGGTTCTGTGCGGGTCAAGAGTGGACAGGTATGCGGTGGATGTGCTGTCAAAGAATGAGCTCTTATGCTCTTGCAATAGATTATTATTGTTTTCCTGACTATTGGCCCCCAAATCGTTCAAATGATTGGATTGTGATTGCGATAGACTAGAAGAAGCGCTTGCATTGCTTGCAATATGAGTGCATTCTTGTGGTAATTGTAGTAAATTGAGTCCATTATCACTGTTATCACTGCAGTCACTGATAGGGTTGGTATCGGTTGGTACAGTACTGTCGTGCCTGAAGAGTCCGTCGAGGAACTCATCGAAGCTGACCCTCCCGTCCTGGTCCTCATCCAATTTGTCAAACAACTGCTCAATTATATCGCCATTAATGCCAACCATTCCTATGTGTTCGCAAACCCTATACAAGTCGTCGATATTTAGATAGCCATTACCGCCGACTCCCAAACGCTCCCAAATGCTCTTCAAATACTGTTCGGTATTCATGTCATTCTGGAGGCTATTATTGTTTGACTCGTTATTACTAAACGAAACGGTCTTCACATCAATCACACCATTCATTGCATTCATGTCATGGCATTCAAGCCGTAAATGCTGTTCTTCGCCATTGTTTTCGGTTTGCGTTAAAAGCGATACAAATATTTCCTTAAAGTCGTCAAAATTAATCTAAAAAAGTGGAAAAATTAATGTTAAAAAAACACATTAATTAAAGCGTAAAATTTAAGTAATATTTTTAGATGTTGTGTGAAAATAGTGATAATTGAATGACTAATTAATATCTAAAATAAGAGTATATTTGACCCAATATTGCTATAAATAATAACAAGATTTTTAAATTACTACTAAATTATAGAGAAATTAATTAAATCGTGAAACACACCAATGAATACATGAAAACTTACTTTCCATTTGCATTACTCTTATTATATAATTATATATCAATTCTATTAACAATATATTCTTGATTATGACTTAAGGCTTACAGAAAATTAAGAAATAATAAATTAGATAAAAATCGGAAGAGAAGAAGGAATTGATTGAAATTATAATTGAAATGTTTGAATACATTTCATCATAAAATAAGAAACTTTTATAAGTGATAACAAACTTTTGAAGAGTATTGTAAAGTATGCTTACTTTGGCGATGATATCGTTGCCAATTAAGTTAGTGATGATATAATTGGTTTGTTTGTCGTCGAGTTGTAATCGCATGCATAGTGTGAACAACTCGTCTTCACCCAAGAGTCCGGTGCCGTAAATATCGCACGAATTAAACACTTGGTATAACTGAGCGACATATGTGTCGTCTCTATCCATCTCCGCATTCATTGCCTATTATTTACTATCAATACTAATAACTCATTACATATTCAGCGATAATATAGTGAATGAATGAATTGAATAAATGATATGAGAGGCAAGTGTTGAGCACATGAACCAACACAACACATAATATGAGTAAAACGGTGTGTAATATATTGGTTGATAAGATGGTAATATTGTTGATAATAAGGGACTGCGACCTACTTTGCCATCAATTTCACCGATAGTTCACAACAATAATAATAATATTAACAAATAATATAACGAATCGTTGTATTCATTGAAACGTTGAATGAGTTTTCAGTTTCAAAGTCATACGAATCATAGGATTTCAGGTTAGCTTCAGATTATCAAGTGTTTCGTATATAAAGTATACTGTATATAGAACTGTAGGCATAGAGTTATACACACTTTATATTATATATGATATTATATTATGCAATGCATGGTTGGTTCGGGTCAGTCAGCACTGGTATACCTATACGTTAGGCAATGTCTATGTTGTCTATGGTGTTCAGGTTATTGGCCCAGAACTGCATAACCGCTTTCATACGAATCGCATTTGAAGCTTACTTTAACACATTTGACCCAAAATACAGTTATTCTTGAAATCAAAGTTTTTATAAGTAATTGTTTCGCGAGAGTTGACAGTATTGTAGAGTAGAGTATAGTATAGTGTACTCCGAGTTGAGAGTTATAGTGAAGTTGTAGGTCTACTCCAGATATTAGGCTAAATCGTAATACGTTTAATGCTTTTCACATGAAATTCAAACAATAATCATATCATTAACATAAAGGAAGTGAATGAATAATATTCAACATTCAATTTGTGTCGCAAAAAACAAAACATCTTCACAAACAACTTCTTCGCATTGAAGCCTATCTGTCCTTTAATTACATTTTATACACAATTAAAAGCAACATATTTTTTAAACATCACAAACAAATTATATGCTTATAATATATTAATACAAACTCTTTCATTTGTCTCCAAACTCGCACTTTATTTGCATTTATTTCCATTTTAATTACAATAAACACAATTGAATTGAATAGAAATTGAATGAATGAGAGATATATTGTATTTTATTGTAAACTTTTTAGGACATTCACTGCTAAAACGGACGAATAGGACGAGAATTACAAATATATTTGTAATAGAAATGAGTGAAACAGTGAAACAGGTGTACCATTGCATCCATTTATATCATATTCTCTTCACTACTGAATATATACTGAATTTAAATACATATAACAGAAAACAACACAATTATCGCCCCAATGAACAAAACATTATACGAAAAGAGTATTTATTATTAGTTTATGTCAACTCTCTATCAGATCATAGGCTATCCATTGAATGTCATGTATTGGATGTGTTGTCGATGTGTTGGGTGTGATCTCTCTCTTTCTCTCTGTGTCTATCTATTATGAACTCAGTATTACCTGAAATATGTATTTATATTCAAGTACTGGTGTATTGTAAATGTTTCTATAGTAACAACATTTTAGATAAATTAAGCTTTTGGTCAATTCATATGCAATGAAACTCCACTACAAGACATGAAACACATGAAAGACATGATTCAGTTTTCAACATGTTTTCAATGGCCTTCGAAACTCTTTTTTCACACCAATTAAAACCTTTGTCTCCAAACTCTTTAACTCTTCTTCTGGTTCAAGGATAACATCACCGAAATTCTGTTCCTTTCATCGCATATCAAATATCACTCACTTTTTCTCTATTATTCTGTCTATTATTTTGACTGTTTTTCTACTTCTAATTCCACTTCGAAATAATTATCGATTTTTTTGTGTTTTATAGTCTGTTATGTATTATATTAATGAAAACTCGTATATATTTAGTGAATACTTATATATAGTGAGCAAAGAATATCTCTTATGAGAGACTTTATTTCAACAATAAATGAAATTCAATCCAATAATTATAAAGAAACGAAATCTATTGAGTGAGACAAATGTCAGTTCAGATTAGTTTGTGATATGAAATAAATTAAATTTTAGGCAACACTTATAACAATAACATATTAAATCGATTTGACTTTTCTTGTGTCTTCAAATAACACATCACTTATAAAAAGTATTTTTTAATATTTACATGTAGCTATTTTAAACATTTTAATTTCAGTGTTTAAAGATTAATCTTTCTTAATTAGTTTAAAATTGTATTATTTAAGTTAATTAAATATAAATTAAAACCTAATGTTAGTTTTATAAACATAATGTTTCTAAAAATATTCATTTTTTTTAAAAATATATAATTTAATTTTGACATTTTATAAAAGTAATTTTAAATTAAGGAAAAGCAAAATATTTCTGTAAATGTTGTAAATTTTAAATTAAAAAATAATACAATTTTACTTTACTTTGTTAGGAAACAGAGCCTTCAAAATAAAAGATTGTTGTATTATTAAAATCTATTTACAACACTGTATGTGATATACATTTAAGTTTTAATAAACTTAAGTACTGAACGAAGGAAAAAGGATGTGAAATGGGATAAAGTTTTTCACAATTCCTTACCTGAAGTAAAAAAACCAAAACCAAATCAATGGTTATATAATTCGCATAATTGAAGGGAATTTTTGAAAACACATACAAATATTGAACCGATATATTGAGAAATGAAATGCAATACACTTTACGACAAAATAAGAGTTGTGTAACAATTGAAATGTAGCCAAACGTACATGTATTGAATGCATTCACAATATAAATAAAAGGCTTGCCTTACGGTTGGATGTGTTGCACAAGACTTGAATATTTAAATAAATTGTTATTTTTTCTGCGAGACAATTATGAACAATATATGCAATGCTCTTCTTCTTGACCTGCAGTTGAATACAGTATATTAGGGAAAGAAGTTAATTAACTATTGCTTTGCATTTAACAATTCACTCCATTATTCTTACAAGAAGTGTATTTTAAGGCTTCTCTTTTGGTTTTGTTATCTCTAATAAAATTTACATTTTTTGTTTTGTCTAATTTTGTCTTAGCATTTGTTAAATGTGTGAACAACAATGTGTTATAACTATATTTCTATTATTTTAGTATTTTAACGTCTGTTAAGGTTAAAATAATTATGCTGTTTATTATTTTATAGCAAAAATTTGTTTTTATGGATTTTTTGGTTTACATGATATCTAATATTAGATTCTATAGTAATGTATACTTACAATAATGTAAAATATTGTAAATATTATTCACACACGACAACAATTACTTTATCTATAGTATAGATTCCATACATAAAGGTATAATGAATTACTTTTGTTATTAAAATGCATATTAAGTGCTCATTAAATCTTAACTTTCGTTAGTGTAAACTCGTTTAACACACGTTTGAATTACATTTTAATGATTGAGTGAAAGAGATATTATATTGACCTGCAGTTGAATACAGTATATTAGGGAAAGAAGTTAATTAACTATTGCTTTGCATTTAACAATTCACTCCATTATTCTTACAAGAAGTGTATTTTAAGGCTTCTCTTTTGGTTTTGTTATCTATAATAAAATTTACATTTTTTGTTTTGTCTAATTTTGTCTTAGCATTTGTTAAATGTGTGAATAACAATGTGTTATAACTATATTTCTATTATTTTAGTATTTTACCGTCTGTTAAGGTTAAAATAATTATGCTGTTTATTATTTTATAGCAAAAATTTGTTTTTATGGATTTTTTGGTTTACATGATATCTAATATTAGATGCTATAGTAATATATACTTACAATAATGTAAAATATTGTAAATATTATTCACACACGACAACAATTACTTTATCTATAGTATAGATCCCATACATAAAAGTATAATGAATTACTTTTGTTATTAAAATGCATATTAAGTGCTCATTAAATCTTAACTTTCGTTAGTGTAAACTCGTTTAACACACGTTTGAATTACATTTTAATGATTGAGTGAAAGAGATATTATTCCATGTTTTTCAATGATAATTCAATGTCAAAAAACATGCTAAAAGTTTTTTAGACTCAATTGTTCTGTTTTGAAAAATCTATACACAATTTTAATACCATGTATTTTGAAGGGCAACTGCTTTTCAAGGATAGTACAGAATGAATGGCACAAAAGAATCGCAAGACTAGGCATCAAGAATTTGAACCATATTCACGAATCCGACTCTTTTCTCGGAATACATATATGTCTTACATTTATTGTAGAGTTAATTACGGGTTATATTGAAGCAAAATATATCATATGTTTCGCAATGCAATCATTTACTCGAAATCAACTCCAAAAATGATTTATTGTTTTGAAAATTTTCTCCCAATTTTAATTGAATGAACGAATCGATACAACAATAATACTCTGCACAGACTTAAGCTCTTCTTTATTGATATACAATAAAATGTAGAAAATATTGATTTCATTAATAATATAGCTTGAGATTAGATGTAATGCTTGACAACTAAATTAATGTTTCCATTGTTTTTATACTAAATAAAATTCTTACGATTTATAAGTTTTATATTATTTACAATTTTTATTTAATATATTTTCTTAAATAAATAGTTTCAAAAATATATAAAATTAAAATAAAACTTTGCATAATTTAGCCAACGATTGTTTTAACAGTATTTCAACAAATAAATAATATAAAACAGACATATTTAACGAATATAATTAATTCACAGTAAATAGTTATAAAATTATTTGCTCCAGAGATCATCGTTTGATAAATTTAGTTGTTTGCCAATCGAGAGTTTGCACAAATTTTGGGTATAAAATGTCATTTCCTGTGTAACCAGTCTATCCATTCAATTCAAATCAATTTATTAATTATAAGCATTTACTCATCAATTAATGGAGAGAGAGAGAGAGAGAGAGAGAGAGAGAGAGAGAGAGAGAGAGAGAGAGAGAGAGAGAGAGAGAGAGAGANTAGTTAATTAACTTCTTTCCCTAATATACTGTATTCAACTGCAGGTCAAGAGAGAGAGAGAGGGAGAGAGAGACTAACCCGTGTTGGGGTCCGCCGTCTTTCTGAATTTGATGTCTTTCCAAATGAGTTCTCAGAACTTCTTTAAATGTGTTATGAATTTGTTGGAAAAGTCGGAGCAAATCGTTGGCAGGGAGTGAGTCCTGAATATTGTCGTGCAATCGCATCAAATGCTGAGAAATGGCTTGAAATGGCGGCGAAGGGACGGGCGCTTTGGCCACCCATTTGGAGAGCTGTGATTCAGCGATCTCTCTGACAACTGTCGACACCTTTTCTGGAATTTTGATAATATGTTCGGAATATAATCGTATGATTTCGTCAAAGTGTTTACACATTGACTGGTTTTTGGCCGGCAATAGAGACTCGAAGTGTGATCTAACGATCGGTATAAAAATGACCACTAATTGCAGACAACGCGAAGATATAATAAGTTTGCGGGCAGTTATTGTCTTAAGACCGGCCACTTGTAGAGCGCCGGCGCCTAACACTAATTGAGCGGTTCTGGAATTGAATAGTTTCAAGATATCCAACAATCGGGTTAATAAATCTGGACTCAGAGACTTGATCTGTTGGGCGCACTCGCAGTATTCAATCAGTGTTTTAATCAAAACAATAACAACATTCACGACAACAAACTTCTGTTCCTTCACCACAACAAATGACTTCAATTTCTCGGTCTTCTCTTCACTCGCTTTCGTGTTCCGTTTGTTTTCATCGAATTCATATCGCCTTTCGACCAATTGGTTGACTAGATCTTGGAATTCATGGCTCACAGAATCAACTGACTTCCACTGTTCGATGTCAAGCAAAGAGTTGATCCGTTTCTTCCTCTCGTCGTGGAATTTGGTCGCAAACTTATTGGCCTGAGTTTGGAGCACAAGCTTTAAGTTAGGGCTCCGGCGGCCGCATATGTGCTGACACTTATCACTAAACCTCTCGATTGATTGATTGAGTCGAACGAATTCACTGGCGGTAAGCCTATCGAGTCCGCCGTCCTTTGCTCGCGACTCCACCACATGAGCGCATCGGTTGTGCGCGTAATCACAGATACAACACAAGGACTCCTTAAGATTAGTACTCAATTCAATGCCGTCGCTCTCTAATAAGATTTTGATGGCGTCGACAGACGTCTCGCCAACACTTGTTTCCAAATCCATGCGTTTGTTTTCACTATAAGTGCGTTCCGTTACGGCATTCAAACCATTGGACATCACATTATAGACTGTATTAATCCGTTTCAGACATTTCAACAAATTGTCGAACACTTTATCCAAAAGTATAATCCATTTGGAAAACTCCAAAACCCTTAACTGATCGAATAAACTGCCGTCAAATCGTTGTCCAACTTCTATATTATCTTCAGAACAGAGCGTTTCTATAACTGTTTGTTTAACACCCGCTTTGATGGCAGTATTGGCTTCTTCTCTGAAGGCGTCCACAAAATTAAATCGTTGCAAACGAACCATTCCGTAGATTATAGACAACAACTTCTCCTCATCCATCAGATGGTGGTCGTCGTTGTCATCAAATGGTCGGTTCCACTCAGCCGTCAGGTATTTAATAAACTCTTCGTTCATCATCTGATCGATCACTTTCTCGATTTCCATGAGTTGTAGTTTGAGATGTCTTTAAAATAAACGCATAAATTATTATCACTTATAAGTCATAACAAAACCAAAATTGCTTTCAAAATGCATTCATACCTAAAGCTATGGACTCCGCAGAGCTCTTGAGCGACCACTTCTTGTGAGGTAGAGATGAGATCAAGAGCTCCGACAAAATCCAGTGTCGAGAGTAGGAGTTGAATAGTGGGCTGTGTTTGATGAACAGTTGCCATTAGATGGATCTTATTGTAGACATCTTTGGTATTGGTTCGACATTTTGTTAACTTTATATTCTTAAGACTCGGCTCTATTAGACAAGTCTCCAATCGGTGACACTTTTTGCGCAAAAGAGTCACTTCTTTGATGGTCCTCTTGAGCTGTTCCATCACTGTATCCATTGTTGACATCACTTGAAAAAAGTTTTTCGATTTAAGCGATATTTGTTTCGCCAGATTCTCCTCAACGATATCTAAATATTCGGAGAAATTCCTCTGCAGTTCTTTCATCGCCTCCTTTGCCATTGGATTCCATTTGGTTGGAGACGTCGGACAACTTGTCAGCACTTCTTTGTTCGTACAAAACGAGAGAACAGTTTTGAAAGTATCGATATTTTCTAAATTAAAATCTGTGCTAAAAAATATTTTGGGAACAAATGTGTCGGCACTTCGGGTCTGCGATTGTGTCTGCAGTGACAACGACTCGCTTCGGCTGCGGAGTCGTTGTCGTCGGTTTCGTTTCAACACTTTTCGTATGTATTGATCGAAATGGGAATGAGATATCTTCGGATGGAATGGACTCTGCGGTACAGTCTGTGTGTCGATGAAGTGATTGCCCCACTCTTTGGTGAATATCGTCTCGTAATAACTGCGAGCTTTTGACGGATCGTTCAAAACGGAGGCCAAGTTCTGCGACGACGAGTAGACACTCCACGTCTGAAGACTATCACTGATTACGTTTGGCTTCCCTTCCATACGATTGTCCGTTAAATAGACATTGGATTCAAACAAATCGCTATTCGATGGCAACGGAAACGGACTTCTTTTGGGCACAGATTGTCGTTGGAATCGCTTCTCATCCGAAAGGACTTGCTTTCCGTTTTCGGTCAACACTTTGTGAGACAATTGTCCGGATTTGGTCTGAATTGGCAATACATGACACTTCACAATATGGCTCTCGTAGTCCCGATCGGACACTCCCTCCACCGGAAGCGACGAACAGATGCCGTTCGAGCCGTATCTGCAGACATGGGAACCGCCCTCACGAGTGCTGTGAATGTCCCGCAAGTGTTGACAGAATTGGTCGGCGGTGTCGAAGACGTGATGGTTGTCGACACAAAGGGAGCATCGCTTCCAACACGTGTTGGCCGCCTCTTTGGCCACCACTAAGCCATTGGTCTTGTGTGATGTCATCTCACCGTTCATTGCATACAATTCACTGCCAATTGAATGGCGAATCCATTGACTAAATGAGACAAAAGTGGTTCAAAAGTGGTTCACAAAACACCACTCACTCTATCATAGAGTCTATGCTTCACATGAATAGCAAAGTCTGTGTTTATATGTGTTTAGCAATGGATTGAGTGCTGACTCGACACTCAATGCTCTCATATGTTGTCAACCAAAACATCACAATAATTATCGCATTTCAATCTCACAAACAGTTTCTCTACAATTCATTCACAAAATTCAATTTGTATTTGCATTTCATTTCAATCATTCATTCAATCCTATCATCGATTCATTAAATATAATTGTTTTTCAAAATAGACTTTATTTACACTTCAAGTGAAATATAGATATTGAAAATTAATGCAATGTTTTTTGTTTGACAATACATTTGTGTGAAATATGTTGTGCTTTTTGTCCAATGATTTATTACTCTTATTTTTAAAAATATTAAAATAAGACTAAAAATTAATTCAATTAAATACTAATTTTAATACAATAATACAGAAACGAAATTAAATAAAAATTGCAGTAAAAATAATTAAGAAGTCATGCAATGAATATAAATATGCAATCATTTGTCGATAAAATGAAAGTGAAATTTATTTTTCGGTTTTAATCCTTATTCCCATCGCTTTTCGTAATGAGTTTACGTCAGAAATTTCTTTAGGCAATGCATTTGTGCCGATAATATCAGCCAATTTGGACGACACCTGATTCGCCAGTTTCTCCTCTTCTGCCGACGGTTTAATGGGAAGAGTAGAAGAGGACAGGCGTTGGTATTGAAGTGATCCTAACTGTCCGATCAGTGAACCGGTTTCGTTGAGTTGTGTCTGAACGCCGTTACCGTTGGTCTCGATATCGATCGACTCAGTGATTGGCTTTTTAAATGTCGCCTCGTTTTCAGCGATAGTAACCTTTTCACGCAATTTGTGGGCAATCTTCTGGTGCTGTCCTTGAGTTAAGATATCGAGCAAAGAGTCGACCAAATTGAGGACATAATCAGTTTCGTGTGCGAACTGTGTTATGCTTTCGGCGTATTGCAGACCCAACTCGTCGTCGCCATAAGTGGAGAGCAGTAAAGCGCTGTCCTCTTCGTTAATGTTAGCCTTAGAAGTGTCCAGAAATGGTAAATACGAACAAAACGGACTCTCGTTAATGGATTCAATGGGATTAATGCGATTGGCTTCGGGCTCCTTATAGGGCGGCATTGCAGCGGTTCCCTCAACTAGTTTGCCGACCATTGCCTCTAAATTAACGTTATGTTCATAGCTATGATTCCCGACAATCGATAGAGTAGTGCTTCCGTCCGCTCGTTGTCTTAAGAAAGAAAAGTTGGCGCCATTTGGCCGCTCGAGAGTGAGTCTATCGGCAGCCATTTGAGCGGCCTTTTTGGCCTCTTCGAGGATCTGTTCGGGAGTGAGTCCGTCCTCATCCATGGCCTCCGCCTCTTGCAGTTCCTGTCGTTCGTCAAGCAGTGGTAGAGTTTCTCCGACAGCCATTGGCGCCAAACCCACTAAATCGGATCCCTTGTGATGAAAAGCGTCCGTTTCTGACAAAGACATGGATGTGTTGTGGTCTTCAAAATGAAAGCCCAACTCATAACTGCTGAGTCCGGGATAACTCCTCATCACATCCGTCAGCGAGTCTTTATTGAGGAGTTTGTTTCTGGTGTAGTGCCAGAGCTTTGTGGCCGCTTTGAAGTACACGGTCTCCGGTCTGTTATACTTCTGGCAATTGTCAGAAATGAGTTTCACGTCTGACTTGAACTCCTGAAGCGTTTCGTATTCATTTTGATCGATCTTCTTCTTCATTGTACTCAAGTCCATGGGCTGTGAGATTATGGATGAATAGCCGGGAGCTATCATATCGCTGACGGGCCACGCGAAGAACTGTTGGATGTCTTTGCGCTGCAATTGTTTCAACAGATGTGACAAAAAGTGCTGAAATTGGCTTTTCGTCGAACTCTTCGAAGAACTCGAGGAACTCTTCTGCAGCGGTTTGTTTGGCGGCACCAGCGATGCCGACAGCGATGGCTGACTCGAGTCTTGCGATTGTC